GTTTATGGGTGAGGTGTGGAGGGCTTCTTCTTCAAAGTAAGTCATATAGACTTCAGTGATGAGGGGTGAGAGAGGGCTTCCCATAGGTAGACCATGCACCTGTTCATACAGGTTGTCACCCCAACTGAAATAGGTTGATTCGATGCATTTTAGAAGAAGATTGGTTATGCTGTCAATGGAGAGTTTGGTATCAAGTGGGTCTGTTAGGTTCAAAATTCGATCACGAAGAATAGTGATGGCATGATTTCTGGGGATGTTTGTGAACAGGTCCACAACATCATACGAAACCAACTGTCCTGTTTGGTTGATGTTTCTGATTTTCCCGCAAAAAAATAAGAAGACTGATCAAACACACCGTAGGAATAGAAACAACCTTTTCACCTGGACCAACAATCAAGGACATCCTTCATGCAAATGGAAAACTGGCACCCACAATACCTCTGGCACCAAAAGGATGTGTCTACAAAATCACATGCTCCTGCAATGAAGAATATGTTGGAGAAACAAGACGCCCTCTCAATCTCAGAACCTACCCAAACATCCGCAGTTTCTGAACACATCAAAAACAACCGACGACACAATATTGAAGCCCTTACTAAACACCAAACCAACAAGAAAACGAGACAATTGACCGAAGCAATTCACATAAGGAGATACCAACCGCAACTCAACAGGTGTTTATTTATCACATGCCTATGACCCTTTAATTAAATAACCTCACCCCAAATTTTGTATTTAGATTGTCACCGGCATCTTACTAGTCAAGTTTTTTATGTTTTATTTATCATCACATTGTACGATTATAATCACCACCACCCCACCATTATAATCAAGAAGTAATTTACTACATCCCTTTAATGGTTTCTCTAATCACACACCCTTGTGATTACCCCTACATAATTGATTAATGTATTCCCATTGTTTTAATCCTTGTCATTGTTGCCCCATATATCCTGAATGCCTTGTTATTTTGTATCATTGCTTGATAAAGACGAAAGAATCATCGTCGAAACGTCGCAAGTTATTTATTAAAGTAATTGTTATTCATATAATTGTGTTCGTGTTAAAATAATAATGGAAATGTGAGACAAACTGGTATCCAAGACATTAGAACACCTCTACTTTCTATTCACTAAATTAAAATAAGGGAACCCATCTTAAACTATTTTGATAGTTTAGCTTACATAGGGATCACATAAAAGATTTCCTTGTGTGATTATATTTCTGTCACCAAAAAATTTCACACCATAACTCCTCACATTAGATTACCAAATTTGCTCAATATATATGAAAATATTTTGGTCATCAATGAAACTCAGCTTAACTTTTTTCTTTTTCATTTCAGAACTCACAGTGGCAGTGTGAAAGAAGAACACTAAAGGGACAGATGGGCCATTTTTTTGACAATGACCAATCATACTTAAGTCTCAGAAACAGGAATTTTTTAGCTAAGCTAATCAGTAATAGTGCTCACCATCAAAATTTGAACGTTCAAATCCACGTGTGTCCTGGACTTATCTGCGTTTGAATGTTAAAATGAAGACTTATGAATTTAAGATACTCTGTGATATAAAGAAACGACATATGTATCAATAGTAAATTTTCAAGTATTTATTTTAATGAATTATGCTATTTGTATACATTTCCAGTACTTCTGAAGACTATTTACATATTCAAGACTAAAAATCACTCAAAATGGCACACCTGTCCCTTTAAGCTTACTCTCCGACCAGGTCTTCCTACAGTGCCTTGAGTGACCATGACTGGAATACTGGAAACTCCTCTGTGCCTCTGGCTCTCAAAAATCACACTTCCAGATAATAATTTTTTCAGTTGGAAATTATTTTCATTAACGAAAAATAATCATTCGGAAATGACTGGCAAAGAAATTCTAAAAGATTCTTGGAAATATTTTTTAATAAGCCTAACTAGGCTAGATCTATGCCCTAATGGTCTTACTAAGTTACAGTACTCGGTAGAGTCAGTCAGTAGTACTCTAATATGAATAGAATGCGTATAAATTAAATATAACTTTGAAATAAATTGAATAGAATTTGATTCACCTCTTGATCTATGACTTTTTAAGATATAATAGATTGATCTAATACATGTAGTCTAAAAGTCATGCTGGATTCAAAGGTCATCTTTTTATGCTATCTCTGACATCCTTTTTGGCCTATTGACTAATAGTTTGGTTGTTATTGCCTCCATTTCGTGGGATTATCCGGAAGCGCTTCATCGCGCTGAAATGATTGGTTGAAGGTAGCGAGATATTTCGTCACATAGGTTACCAATTCTGCTGCTCTGCTCAATTTTCTTTTTTCATTTCCCTTTTATGAGTATTTAGATTATAATCCACGCATAGCCATGATTAAACATATTTGATCAGAGTGCAGGCATTATACTCTCAAATTATCTTGACTAAGATATTTTTCCTACCGATAGGTAGGATTTTCGGACTAAGGAATATTCCATTATTGGTTGAACGAAATGTCTTGATATCTTTAAAGGACGAATTATCTCATTCTCGCTAAAACGTGATTTTTCTAACATTGATTTTTTTTATATCGTTTTCACAGTTTAATTCCATTATTTTTGCAAAATTTAAGCAAATAGTCATTCAGTCCGATCTATTTGACTAAAATTTACTTTTATTCAAATCAAATCCCTTGGATCTCGAACACGTGCAACTGAACGACTTCCTTTCTCCGTGACCTTGCGAAACTCTCACCTTCCAGTGTTGAAAATCGGTAAAATTTATTTTCATGTTTTCGCTTTAATATCATCCCCTAATTGTGCACACCTAGTGTTTATTTTATGGAACTCATTAAGGACAAAAAGCTTTATCGAGGAAAAACTGTCATTTACCTCATTTAGCTTACTAATTATACTAAGTCACCGGTGGACATTCATTCGGATCAGTAGAAAGAAATTCGAATTTTTACGTTTTAAAATATGAGCTTCCACACAATAGCACAGAATAGAATGACTTCGTTTTGATGAAAATATGACACAAATTGGACAGAATCTCCATCCCAGTAAATTCTAGCTAAAATGACACAAATATTGACTTACTACCGGTATAAGCTTAGCTTTTTTTTTTAGTGCCATGTCTCCTTGCATGTATTTGAATTTTTACAAAGTTAGCAACAATTTAAGCTGATAAATAGGCCTATTCTCAGTGCAGATTTCATATTGAACTTTGATTTTCAGTGTGATGTTGTGGATGTCTATCCCTAAGGTGGTGAAACAAGTTGCTCGTGTCGTATTTCCGTTTCGTTTACGGACTAGTTCATGCATTTGTTCATTTTCTTAGACGTTGTCTTTATTATTCATTTCTATTTCATCACCAGAGACTTTGCTGCCAGCCATGCTTCCCGCTAATTGTCGAGATCTTCACATCTCGAATGGTGAGCGAATGAATAAAGAATTTAGATTGACTCACTGAACCAAAACAAATTTTAACAATCCTGCTAAATCTTACACGGGCATTAATAAACCAAACCCCTTGTCATGTATTTTACAAAAAATTATGATTGACGGTATAACTGTAAAACCGCGATACAGATTATTTTGGTGATACAAATACCGTGAAAACCAATACCGCGGTATAGTGCTTTTCACGGTATACCGCCCAACCCACTTGATAGCCCAGTCTTATGTTGCAAAGTAATTTTTACGTAAGCTTACAAGGTAGATTTTTAGCCGACATTGTTACTGTAAGCATGACCTTCAAAGTGAGGTTAAGAGTAAAAAGTGATTGCAAATGGGTTTTCTGAAAATTTTATGTGTACTGGTATCTGACACTTAAAGCATTAATTTACACTATTCCAATTTTTAATCAGACATCTGGCAATTTCACTAAAACTATGACATCACTAATCAAGAAGTCCTTATGTGATAAAGCATATTTTGCAATTAGTGATGTTATAAATCACTTTGTTTTAGTGGAATTGCAGGAACCAGACATGTCTGGTTGAAAATTGAGATGGTGCAAATTGATGCTATCAGTGTCATAAAAAATTTAGAAAACCTTTTTACAATCCCTTTAATGTAGTCTTATGATCATAATTTAAGACTATTTAAATCTAAATTCTGTCTTTGGTTATTGCATGCTGATTTGTAATTTTTTATTTTCAGTTGTAATTTTCAAAGATAAAGTATGGCTCCACCAAGCTTTTCAGATTTGGGAAAATCATCCAGAGATATATTTGATGAAGGCTTTAGTATGTACCAGTATTGTTTTTTTTTTCTTTCTACTTCTCTTCGGTACATGCAGTTTTGAACAAGAAATGAATGGCTACTTGGCAACATTTACTATCAAATTGAAGATTGCATAAGCATTTGCTCAGGTAGCAATAGAAAATGCTATGAACGTAATCAAAGATTATTTACGGGATATTGAACAACTGCCTTTTCTTCAGCTTTTCGACCCATTAGATAAGTGTTACAAATGTTTTGCTAAAATACCTTGCAATCTTATCGGTTATTAGTTAATATTCAATGACTATACTTTAATCGAGGTTATACGTTTTTTAGATTATGGATTTACTAAGCTGGAAGCTAAAACAAAGACTGACAGTGGTGTCAACTTCACTGTGAGTGGTAATTCTAGTACTGATACTGGTAAAGTTAGTGGAAAATTTGAAACCAAATATAAATGGAACGAATATGGTAAGGTTTGATTCCATTTCATGTCAGATGATATTAGCATCACGGTTTTCTATGAAAATAACTTGAAAATTAGTAAAGAATGAAAAGTGGTATTGGATTGCTAATGAAATTATTTATGCATTTTGACAATGGTTTGGTTTCAGGTTTAACATTCACTGAAAAATGGAACACTGATAATGTTCTTAATACTCAAATTACCATTGAAGACCAACTTGCCAAAGGATTAAAATTGGCTTTTGATACCTCATTTGCCCCACATACCGGGTAAGATTAACTTAACACTTATAATTGTTGAGCAACATGTAAATGTGTCATTGTTTTCATTCAGTCATTCAAAGTTAATGAGTTTGTATGAACATAATTATGATGAAGATGTCATTTTAGATTAGATGTTAAAATTTGAAAATGGTCAATCTATGATTTAATACTTTAATAATTTGATACTCTTAATTTGAAACATTTTTCAGAAAAAAGAGTGGTAAAATAAAGAGTGGATTTAAAAATGATAATGTTAACTTGAACTGTGATGTTGATTTTGATTTTGCCGGACCAACAATTCATGGTGCTGCTGTCTTGGGGTAAGATAATGATAACTCTTATTAAATTGAAACTGTCTGTAATTATATGACCTAAAAAAAAAAGAAATTGTCAGGTTAATTGATCAAACCTTGACAATTGCCCATTCCATATAAATATTTACTTCTTGATAATACTGTTACTAATATTCTGAAAAGTGATTTAATTTAACCTAATTTTCTTTGGATGATCCCTAGTGAAAATCCAAAAATATTTTATGAGTTCTTTAAAATGCTTTCAATTTTTAGCTCTTAATCACTATAAGGCACGACTAATGCCAGATTTTAGCAGAAATACAATATTGTTCCTACAAAGTGTGTGACTGAAGGTGGAATATTTCATACTGTTGATTGTTACTGAGCTACCAAACAAAATTTTTTTTTGTAAATCAAAACCAGTGGGCATACAGTGGGTTCAAAAACTGGCGAAAACCGTCGTGTAAAATCCTCATTTTGTCCTGTTTTCGCTGGCTACTTTTTGTTGATAAGAATTTTACTTTCGCTTTTATAATTGAAATTTTACGGTATCCTTATATTTAACACAAAACCAAATCTTGAAGTCTGAATAGTGGATGATGAATAGTCTTTGTGGTCTATAAAAAACAAATACTATTAGGCCATACAAAATAAATAGTCTGTTTTACACCCTGCACGCTCCAATACAATACCCTGTGCTCCAAATCTATTTATTGACATTTTGAAGTACCGTACGTACTGCATGCACCCCCAAAATAATGTGTTAAATAGAGTTATTTCCTCTTCCCCTTGAATATTTTAATAGTTATTCCCTAGAGTTATTTTCATAAA